GGCGGGCACCTGTAGTCCCAGCTACATGGGAGGCTGAGGTAGGAGAATGGCGTGAACCTGGGGGGCAGAGCTTGCAGTGAGCTGAGATTGCGCCACTGCACTCCAGCCTGGGCGACACAGCGAGACTCCGTCTCAAAATAAATAAATAAATACAATAAAATAATAAAAAATAAAATCCTTCAGAGATTACGGAAAAGCTCTGCCCGGAGCACTTGGGTGGGCACCTAAGGACTGGCCCTGGTCATTTGGGGGCATCTGTGTGTCACAGGGCGGCCCCAGCAGGGTTTCCCTGAGACACGGGGCGCCCTGGTCCTGCAGAGGCATGCTTCCCGCAGTGAGTTTCAGCCTTGCCCTCGTGTCCCAGGCTACAGCAACTGGACGAGGAGAACAGTGAGCTCCGGTCCTGCACGCCCTGTCTGAAGGCCAACATTGAGCGCCTGGAGGAGGTGAGCTGCCTACAGCCTGGAGCTGTGGCTAGTGGGCCCAGCCCGTGCCCTGCCTGTGGGGCAGCCGAGGTAGCCCTGAGCTCTGTGCTGAGCAGGATGCTGTGCTGTGTGTGAGGGAGCAGGGCCAGCTCAGGGCCCAGGCCACTGGAAGGCACCGGACCTGAAGGCACTGTTCCACCCACAGGAGCAGGGCCCAGAGGCTCACTCCTAGATGGACCCAGGGCTCTGAATCTGGGAATTGTCCTCCAAGGGGAAGGCATCAGCCAGCCACTCACGCCCCGACCCCTGCAGACGTGGAGGCAGAGGCTGCATGTGGGGTTCCCACACCCCAGCTCATCACTGTGAGACCTCCCTCCCCCCACCTCACCAGCTGTGCTCTGGGAAGCTCCCAGGAAGGATATTCTCAGAGCACTTGGGCCCTGGCTCCCGTGAACCAGAGGAGCCCGGCTGGAGCTGCCCACAGCCACTGAGTCAGGTCCTGTCCACACAAAGGTCCTTCCTGCCCCTCACGAGAAATGGCCCTCGTGGCCTGTGTGTGTGAGGCGCCCAGAGGCAGGTGGCCTTGACCTCCACTGAGAGGCAGGAAGGCTCAGACCCAGCCCTGTCGTTCTCCAACACGGGGGCTACTATGCTGCTGTTTGGGAGACTCAGAGACTGGAGGGACAGATGACCGGGGCAAGCTGCATGCACAGGTGGGAGGGCGACGCACATCCAGGGCAGGTGTCCACCCCTGCAGGAGAAGCAGAAGCTGTTGGATGAGATAGAGTCGCTGACGCTGCGGCTCAGCGAAGAGCAGGAGAACAAGAGGAGGATGGGGGACAGGCTGAGTCACGAGAGGCACCAGTTCCAGAGGGACAAGGAGGCCACACAGGAGGTGAGCTGGCACCCACCCTGCCCCATGCCAGTCCTGCCCCCAGGCTGCCCCAGGGGAAGCCTTTGTTTCCTAAGACGCAAGCTTTTGGCTGTGCGCTTTGGACATAGCCACTGGTGTGTGTCGTCTTCCCGAGAGACGGCCAGATCAACCCTGAGGTTCTACAGCCAAGTGATGGCTGATGGTGTCCCCTGGGAGCCCAGGCCCCCCGGCTCACCTGGTGGTTGCCCTGCAGCTGATCGAGGACCTCCGAAAGCAGCTGGAGCACCTGCAGCTCCTGAAGCTGGAGGCTGAGCAGCGGCGGGGCCGCAGCAGCAGCATGGGCCTGCAGGAGTACCACAGCCGCGCCCGGGAGAGCGAGCTGGAGCAGGAGGTCCGCAGGCTGAAGCAGGTGGGCAGGCCTGGGCCTCCCTCCCTCACATTCCTGCAGAATGTTCCACAAGGCTGGTTGGGAAGGTGGGGACATGGAGGGTCAGCATCTGAGCTGGAGGCCTTTTTCCTGGGCAGTCCTTGTCCCTGCTCAGCCATCCGCAGGGGCCACAGCCCAGTAGTGATGTTGCTGTGCCCTCCCAGGACAACCGCAACCTTAAGGAGCAGAACGAGGAGCTGAACGGGCAGATCATTACGCTCAGCATCCAGGGCGCCAAGAGCCTCTTCTCCACAGCCTTCTCTGAGTCCCTGGCTGCAGAGATCAGCTCTGTCTCCCGAGACGAGGTAACACATCCCATGCCTGCACAGTGTGGCCTGGGGTTTACAGCCCGCACTGTCTGTGCGCTGTGGTTTGTGCACTGTGGCCTGTGGCCCGTGCGCCTCAGCTCTGACTGCCTGCTCGCCCTACAGCTCATGGAGGCAATTCAGAAGCAGGAGGAGATCAACTTCCGCCTGCAGGACTACATCGACAGGATCATCGTGGCCATCATGGAGACCAACCCGTCCATCCTGGAGGTCAAGTAGAGGCAGGAAGGCCCAGCCTGGGCTGGATTCGGGACTTCAACACCCTGGAGTGGTCCCGTCACACCGTGAGGAGCCAAGACCAGCAGGTCCCACAGCCGACGGTGCCCAGAGCATGCAGGGAGTCCTCATGCAGCTGGGCTGGGGCCGCCAAAGACAGGGGCTGCCAAAGGGGCAGAGGGTGGTGGAGAGGAGAGGGAGAAAGGAAAGTCCCAGGGCCCGGGGTTCATAGAGGGTGAGGGTTGTGGCGGGGCCATCCATCAGCGCTGACCTTTCGGGGGGCCCAGAGCTTTCCAGCCCTAAGTCACCCTGGCCGTGAACGCCTATACTTCAGTTCAGCAGGATGGGCTGGAGAGCCTCTCTGTGCAGAGGTGTAGGGTGAGCCCCGCTGTGGCCTCCTTGTGGTGGTCCCTTTCCACATGCAGCCCTATTGGGAAGAAAGGAAGAAAACGGGTCCTTCCAGGGGTGCTGCTGCCTAAGCCACCCGCACAAGTACCCTGGTGCCGTTTCACCCATGCTGAGCCGCTGCTGATGGCTGACGGGCTCCCGGACCCTCACCTCAGACATGGTGGTGCGGGAAGGACGGGTGGGCAAGGCTGGTGCATTTCCCAAGCTCTACCTACGCTGCTTGGGCCATTGCCCAGTCAGATGTGGTCACCTCAGTCCAGCTCTGGGGCCTCCAGGCCATGTGGCTGTTCCCATGGCCCATTCCTCGCTGCAGTAACCCCTGGGGGCTCTGACCACCTATGGGGGTCGGGCAGGAGCCACTGGGGCCCTCCACTCCGACATCAGGACCTGAGATTACAGCTGTGTGGCACTCTCTCCCTGGGTGGGGTGGATGCTGCAGGCCCCTCTGGCTCCCAGGTGCTGCTTCTCCACAGGTGCGGCCTGACCTGGCCTCCTAAAGGCCACACCCTCCCCACGCACTTCCCAGGCCAGAGTCCAAACATCGGGAACCCTGTTTTCTTGTTTGTGTCTCACTTAGAAATCGTGGTTCTTCCCCGAGGGTGCGTGTTGTAGGAGGGAGAGGGCAGGGAAGACTCACAGCAGAGCGGGAGGGGCTGCGCTTCTCGGGTCCGCACCCCAGGCGCAGCGGTGTCACCCCGCAGGGCTGCGGGCCTGCCCCCGACCCCCAGCATTCCCGGGTGGGCCCAGACCCCATCACCAAGACTGGCCACCTGCTGCGTGTGAGTGCGCGCATGTGTGTGTGCGTGCGTGCACCTGTGTGGCCCCGCATCCACCGCCTTCCATGCTAGGATGTAAGAGGTCGCCTCCTATTGTACATTTGGGGAAAGCCTTGGGTGTAAATCAGTGTAAACTTGGAGGAGAAATTTTTCTATCATGTAGAGTAGGTATTTTTTATAGATTGAAGGTTGATCAATTTTTTAATACTTTCAAGAGAGAAAACTATCTGTGTATACACATGAAATATATATATATATATATGTATAATATATAAAGACTGGCACCCTGCCTCTCTGTGCCCAGGCCCAGCCCTGGTGACACGGCACCACTCAGCAGTGCTGTCGCTATAAGCATGGACTCCCAGGAGACAGTGTGGGAAA